TGTAGCCTAAAGAACTGCCATTTTTTTTTCATTTTTCATCTTTTTTTGCACCCCAGTGCTGCTGATTTTTTCCAGCCATTTCAGCCACTGTCTACATGTACTTACCTCAGTGTCAGCTGCATGTCATTGCTTGGGGCCAGCTTCCTGATATTAAAACCAGCAGACCATGCTTGCACAATGCGTTTTAGCATTGCTGAGTGTAGTCTTTGCCAGGAGTCTTTAGGAGCATGTGATCGTGGCTATCAACGCATGAGAACAATTTGAAGGCAGGTATCACCCTATAACAGATAGCACCTGAAGACTGTACATTTAAAAAGACTAAAACAGTTTTAAAATGACATTAAAGGGATAAAGATCAAATGAGATTTTAGACATTGGGTTTGGATTTACACTAATCCTTTAAAGCCTGTCTCTGGGGAAAACAACAATCCTCCTTGCAAAGGCAGTAGGACAGAGTTGTACACATACCACTGTGGTGTTCAGCTGGCCTAATGCGCTCCAATCAAGTGAATTGGGCCATGCCACAACTGCCTTGCAGCCACGAGCAGTTCACACAGTTGCATTGTGGGTGGTGCAGACTTTTTCAAGTTAAAACAAGCTGTGCATAGGCAACATATTGCCTAATAACTGCCTGTCAAATGCCTCTAAAAAGCGATCCATCACAGATTACGTTTCAGAGGGGCAGCAAGTGTAAAGCAAGCTTTGCAGTGGGGCCACCCCCACACCTCAAGAGTTAAGTGTTTGTTTATGTCTAGGGCAGTGGTGGGCAACCTTTTTTTTTCAACTGAGCCAAATCTCGCCAAAACCACGATTGAAATTTATTTTGAGAGCCACATTTTTAAAACTGAAAATACATCCCCCATATAGTAATTCATCCTCCATAGTAATTCATCCCCCATAGTAATTCATCCCCTATATAGTAATTCATCCCCCATAGTAATTCATCCCCCATATAGTAATTCACCCCCCATAGTAATTCATCCCACATAGTAATTCATCCCCCATAGTAATTCATCCCCCATATAGTAATTCATCCCCCATAGTAATTCATCCCCCATATAGTAATTCATCCCCCATATAGTAATTCATTCCCCATAGTAATTCATCCCCCATATAGTAATTCATCCCCCCTATAGTAATTCATCCCCCCTATAGTAATTCATCCCCCATAGTAATTCATCCCCCATATAGTAATTCATCCCCCATATAGTAATTCATCCCCCATAGTAATTCATCCCCCATATAGTAATTCATCCCCCCTATAGTAATTCATCCCCCATAGTAATTCATCCCCCATATAGTAATTCATCCCCCATAGTAATTCATCCCCCATATAGTAATTAATCCCCCATAGTAATTCATCCCCCATATAGTAATTCATCCCCCATAGTAATTCATCCCCCATATAGTAATTAATCCCCCATAGTAATTCATCCCCCATATAGTAATTCATCCCCCATAGTAATTCATCCCCCATATAGTAATTCATCCCCCCTATAGTAATTCATCCCCCCTATAGTAATTCATTCCCCATATTGTGTCAATTCACTTACTTTTGCTCCGCGCTTTCCTCTCGCCGTGTTCCCGCGCCGTTCCGGTCTTCAGGGCGGACTGTGAGAGTTCGTCACGCTGCCCCGCCTACATCCTGACAGCCAATGTTTGCCACGCTCCGCGGGCCGGATTAAAAGGTCCGCCGGGCCGTAGTTTGCCCATTGCTGGGCTAGCTGCAGAGTCCTGACTTTTGGGGCGGCCGCCCGAGAGGAGGGAGGGGAGCGGGCGCCCGGCACACAGAAGAGCCGCATTGAAGTGTGTAAAGAGCCGCATGTGGCTCGCGAGCCGCGGCTTGCCGACCACTGGTCTAGGGTACCTGAAAAAGCAGTTTTACTTACCCGATCTCCTCACCTAGCAGCTTGTGATCTCCTTTTCTCTCCTGTGCTCTAGCTTTCTGATTGTCATTTGCCTTCCTCATGTCCAATACAAGAATATGGGTCCTGAGATGTATTTGATGATGACCGAAGGCGTGTGACCACTGGAAGAAGAGGCTAAGGGCACGGCTCTAGTAGTCTGGAGGGAACATGTGGGAGCAGGGGACCATGTAAACAAAAGTGCTTTTTGACGTACCCTAGACATAAACCAGCATTTATCCTTTCCACTGGCAAAGTATAGGTGCTTTTATTGCTTTCCCTCTGAAAATGCTAGTTGCCTGTCTGTGTTTGGCTTCAATATTTCTTTTTATACTTTGATCAGAGAGTAAATGTTGATACAGGGTGCAGCATCTCAGAAAATGCATTACAATCTCTAGAGCAGCCTTTCTCAACCAGGGTGCCTTCAGGCTTCTTAAGGGGTGCCTTGTCAAAATGCCCAAAAATTGTATACAAGCCAGCAGGTGGATCATTCCTGCCTTTTAGTACACAAAGGCACAGGTTTTCATTGGGCACTTTTATGACCTTCAAGCTGCCAGCATCCTAACAACCAATGACATCATCAGGTGTTAAGGAGGACGTGCGGTGCATGCTCATCATCCTTGTTTTCCCCTCTGCATCAGAACTGGGGTCACATTAGCAGAGTGAGGTAGAGAAAATGAGAGAGACACAATGGAATACTAGTCAGTACCAGTGTGCAAAAGTGTATTTGCTTTGGAAGAATAAATCACCTCTAACATTGGGTGTACTGGATGTGTGTAGAATAGTTTTCTACATTTAAGATTGGGGTGCCTTGAGATTGTGCAGAATTTTAAAGAGCGCCTTGAGATTATCCATAGTTTGAAAGGGTGCCTTGACTGAAGAAAGGTTGAGAAACACTGCTCTAGAGAACTGTAAATTGTGTGAGAAACAAAAACCATCCATTGATCACAAGCTCTTTAGTGGAAAACAACTTGGTAATGAATGGAGTAAAAGGAAAATGATCATACTTGTTCCTTCTGATAGAATCTCCACAGTGTTCATCCATTCTTTACAACATTGGCGTTCAGAAGGTCAACTCTGGCAGGACAACATTGAAATTTAAACAGAATGGACTAAACCAGAAGATCCAGCTTGTATATACAGTAACCCTATCTGCTAAAACATTAAACATTAAACAAAGCAGATCTAATGTAAACTTTTTAATGGACCTCACTGCTGTTGGCTCTGCTGGGTTCAGCTACTACTATCAGCCTTGAGAGGTTACTTTGGGAGTCGGACTCATGCATGAATAATGTAGTGGCTGGAATAGAAGGAATGCTGGGGCTGCTGCCAAGATGGTGGCAGTCTCCAGCTTTTTAGAAGACCTTCACAGATAGATAAAAATTAAATATTAAGTTAAATAAACATATAATCCTATGTGTTTGTTTTTTAAATGAATGGCGACAGGGTCTCCCTAACATTTTAAAAAGCGGTAATGACCAACTTGAGGTGAACTTAAGGATAAGACTCACAAGAAAACTCTATGTGAAAAATAAAATCTGAATTATGGGGAAATAGAAAGGGAAAATCATCAGTTAAATGTTTACTTTTTTGAGCAGTATGTTTTCCTTTTACAAATATAAGTGTAGTGCACCCCCTAAGCAGCTGCAGGTGAATTGGTCCTTTTTCCCCCTTAGAGCACACACAGCCAGGCACACCACATGTTCTGCACTCTTCTACTGGCTCCAAATGACAGTCTAGGGGATTCTTTTGGGGTTTTTATTGGGAATGAGGAACTTGGATTGGGAATGAGGAACTTGGATAGGGAGAGGGAGCATGGGATACCCTAGTAAACTGTAGAACTGAATAACTTGAGGACTCTTCAACTTTACAAACAACAACAACAGTACAAAAAAGAACGTCTTACAGGATCTCTATGTTGATGGTTACCTATACTCTTTCCAAGGTTGAAAGCTACACACAATCACTACTCTTCAGTGCTGAGGTAATTTACTCACATAGCCACAGGATCATCGGTTGTCCCCTGCCGATATCCACCAGGCTCTTCCTATTGAGGGAAATGTAGTCTCAGACCATCATAGGAGAGCTGAACTCTTTCCAACCAACTTCCTCTCAGCTCTCCAGTAAGCTTTTCCAGACCTGACATGATCCTTGGACTTGAACTTGAGAAAAGGCCCCCCATATAAGCCTAGCTGAGACCTTGGTATCCTTCTAAAACTTCATCTAGGGTCATGCACCAAGGGCAGAGCTGCTGCACAGAGGTCTTCTTCTGCTGAACTGAACCCAGGAACACTGCACCCTGCTGTTCAGGCCCCAAACTATTTATGGGCTCTCTCACCACCTACTGGGCACACCTCCCCAGGGACTGGCTATTATTGTTCAAATATCCTGATAAGACAGACTGAACCCTTAGCCATTCTGCACATGGTCAGTCTAGTGTGTATTGCTAGAGTTATTTTTTTTTTTCTTGGGAGAGTACATAGGATCAGTACAGGACCAATCAGCACTGTCCAGACAGAACGTCATGGGTTTTGCATCCTCCTAGAGCAGAAAGAAAACTCCTCCTACAAGCTTTAACAAGTGTTCAGCTGAAGTCACAAGACTGCTCTAACTGCTGATGAGAAAAGGTATTTAGCAATTTACATTTACTAAAATAATTGCATTTCCATGTTCTGTGGGAGACCAGATATAGTGACTGCAGGGTCCTGGGTTTAGTAACACTTTAATGCAACTATGTATTCATTAACATATCAAAAAGGTATTTTTATAATCCAACAGTTTTAGTACATTAAGGTGACTTCTTGCAATCTCTGTACAGCAGAATTCAAACTAGGAGATGGAGAAACAGAACTTGTAGCCAATCAGCTGCGTAGCATGTGCTACCAAATAGGGGTGAACTTCAGGTTTGGACTGACATAGAAGTGACAAGACTGCTCTAACTGCTGATGAGAAAAGGTAATTAGCAGTTTATATTTACTAAAATAATTGCATTTCCATGTTCTGTGTACTGTGGGAGACCAGATATAGTGAATGCAGGGTCATGGGTTTAGTAACACATTAAAGCTTGTAGAAGGACTTTTCAACCTGGTCTAGGAAGATGCCGGACCCCTAACCTCTGTCTGGGCAGTGCTGATTGGCCCTGCGCTGATCACATGCACTCTTCCAAAAAAAAAAAAACTGAACATGTGCAGAGTGACTCCACAGGATATGTCTTATCAGGAGATAAAAGGGGGACACTATAAGAAGGGGAGGATCAGAGAATTCAGGATCATACAGTGTTATTACACAATGCTGAGGATTAACCCCTTAGGTTCCACAGTGAGTATAACAAGCATGCTTTACTGCATATACTGACTGATTTTACTGTTGTGGGTTTAGTAACACTTTAAGATTATGAGACTAATGCAGTGTATACCAATGTATTTAATAATTTATTTGCACAGATATAAACATAACTTTTAGCCTGTAAGTAATCACATAAAATAAATCCTACCATAAATAAATGGATGAGATTGTAAGAAACAGTGCTTGGATGTGCTGTCAATTTTTTCACAAGGCTTCTTTCATACACAGCGGAGTCCTCTCCAATCAGCAGAGGATCTGTGAGCAGATCCTCTGCTGAACCGGAGCTGAACGGGACACACGTTAGTTTTTGATATACTGTACGTGCCCATTCAGTTTGTGATCAATGGACAAGGGTGGACCCGTGACAGCTCTATGGGAGGCCAGGTGTAAACAGACTCAGTTGTCCATTTACTGCAAGTTACCTCTGATCTGTCAGGTTTAGTTCCGTAAAAATGGGAAAGGACTGTGTTTTTGTTTTCTGGACATGGATGGATTAAAAGGTAGTTAGATGTAAATGGATACAGGATAAATGGAAAGTCTACAAGGCTGCATGGAGCTTCCACTCAGGTCGGCCTGAAAAAATAACAGGCAGACCTGATTGGAAAGCCTGTGTGAAATAGTCTTCAGACATATCTAAAGTCAAAACTTTTGTCCTTTCAGAGTGATGAGGGTCAGAGACCTGTCTTTTTCTTACTTCTGTTCATGTTCCATTAGGGGGAATTACTCTCTCTAGTTGCATTGGTGACCACTGTCACTGGGACACAAAGTCATAGAAAAGTTTTTTTTCTTTACCAAGAATAGAGGGGGAATCTACCAGCAGGGGCATTTGTTCAAGTGGGAACAAATCGCTTCTCGGCCTTTTGGCTAAGATCAAGTGTAGTATCTGTTCTTATCAGTGTCCAGTGGGGGTGCTCCCGACCATTCTAGCTTTGCGGGGATGGTTGTTGTATAGTACCCTCACTGGTATGATGGGGGTCCGGAAGGCTAGTACCGGAGGGACAGAAACCGGGGAGTGCCACGAGTTAAGCTGGGGCCCCGGGAGTAATTCCTCTGGGAAGACTGGAAAGACCCAGTACCTCCTGATTTGGACGGATCTACCTTGGTCTGGCCAGGGGCTGGGGACGCAAAAAGTCCGCAAACTCAGTGCCCCCTGGGGAAGACGCTCTCAGGGGTGTCACTAGTAACACTTGGGTGTGGGACCCCACAGTGTGAAGATGACACATGGCCACTGTTTTTCACCTCTTTTTGCACAGCGCCCTAAGGACCAGGCCTTTTGGCTAAGTTCAGGGCAATTTTTGCTACGGGCCTCAGGGCCTGGTCTGTGCACGATTCGGCACGGTACCACTTTTTTTTATTTTTTCTTTCTCTTATTTATTAAGCACTTACCCACGTTTGTCACTTTTTCTTTGCCTTATGTGTGTGTTTTTCACGGATGGAGGGTGTGGGTCCTCGGGCCTACCCTGAAGTCTAGGGGGAGGATGTGTGGCCATACGGTTCCTTCCTCCCCTGATCCCTAGAGGACTCTTCTCCGGGAGAGTCCCCTTGCCTAGTACTGAATGTCCGGCTTCGGCTGGGCATAGGGAACGGTGGTCCACCAGGCCTTTTGGCCAGGAGGACCAAGTGGGAACCTTGTCCTCGTCAGGAGCTTCGTGCCCCGGGGGATCAGGGTAAGTGGTCCAAGCCCCTTTAGGGGTAGGACACATCACACCCCTAAGTGCACTTTTTGTGTGGTGTTTTTGCACTTGCACTTTTTTGTGAAACACTTACGGGTTTTTCGTTATAGTTGCACGTTTGCGGACTTAAAAAAAAAAAAAAAAAAATTTGTTCAAGTGGGAAATGTCTAAGAGGGAATTTTCCTCCGCTTGAAGAGGTTTAACTATTTCCTAATCTAAAGAAAATGTTCGGCTTTAGAGAGATATATATATACACCGTGTTCCAAATTATTATGCAAATGATATTTTTCTCATTTACCTAAATAATTGATGTAAATAACAGTCAGCATAATTCCCATGTTATCAACTATTAAGAGTACAATTCAAATTTTATTGAACAAACCTCCTAATGATAACAGTATTTTTTTTAAACATAAAACACTTCCAATGCACTGTTCCAAATTATTAAGCACAGTAAGTTTCAAAACACTTTATAGGTTGTAAAGAACTGAAAATTGTCATTTGTTGTGTTTGCAGCATATTTACTGAAATCAAAAGCTATTTCGATCAAACTTTTAACAACATTTTAACTTTTTAAACATTTTAACATGTCACGTTACATTGTAACATAGGACCCCTTATTTGATAGCAGCTTCACAAGTCTTGCATCCATTGAACTTGTGAGGTTTTGGACAGTTTCTGCTTGAATTTGTTTGCAAGATATCAGAATAGCCTCCCAGAGCTGCTGTTTGGATGTAAACTGCCTCCCACCCTCATAGATCTTTTGCTTGAGGATGCTCCAAAGGTCCTCAATAGGATTGAGGTCAGGGGAGGATGGAGGCCACACCATGACTTTCTCTCCTTTTATCCCCATAACAGCCATTGATGCAGAGGTATTATTTGCAGCAGGAGATGGTGCATTGTCATGCATGAAGATGATTTTATTACGGAAAGCATAGTTCTTCCTTCTGTACTAGGGAAGAAAGTGGTCAGTCATAAACTCCACATACTTTGCAGAGGTCATCTTTACACCTTCGGGGACCCTAAAGGGGCTGACCAGCTCTGTTCCCATGATTCCGGCCCAAAACATGACTCCACCACCGCCTTGCTGACATCGCAGTCTTGTTGGAACAGGGTGGCCGTCCACCAACCATCCACTACTCTATCCATCTGGACCATCCAGGGTTGCACGGCACTCATCAGTGAACAGGACTGTTTGAAAATTAGTCTTCATGTATTTTTCTGCCCAATGCAGCTGTTTCTGCTTGTGAGCATTGGCTATTGGTGGCTGAATAGAATGTTTATGCACAGTTGCAAGACTCTGGAGGACTCTATACCTTGATGTCCGTGGAACTCCAGAGGCACCAGCAGCTTCAAATATCTATTTGCTGCTATGTAATGGTATTTTAGCAGCTGCTCTCTTGATCCGATGCATGGATCAGGCAGAAATCTTCCTCAATGTGCCTTTATCTGCACCAACCCATCTGTGCTCTGAATCAGCCACAAATCTCTTAATAGTGCGATGATCACGCTTAAGTTTTTGTGAAATATCTAATGTTTTCATACCTCGTCCAAGGCATTGAACTATTTCACTCTTTTCGGCAGCAGAGAGATCCTTTTTCTTTCCCATATTGCTTGAAAATGGTGCTCTGCTTAATAATGTGGAACACCCTCCTTTAGTAGTTTTTCCTTAAATTGGGCTCACCGGCCAATCTAATTATCACAGGTGTCCGAGATTGTTTTCAGTGATCAAAAGAGCCCTGAGACACAATGCCATCCATGAGTTAAACTGAAAAAACAAAATATTTCATCTTTGTGACACTTAAATTGAATTTGCATAATAATTTGGAACGCGGTGTATAAGCAGAATAAACCAGAACTGCAAATTTGTGTATTTCTATACTGCATAATGTTTTATGTTATATTCATTAAAGAAGACCTCCGAGATAGGCAAAGTATCACCCATTAGTACACCCCCCAGAGCTGCTGTTAGAAACAAACCTGACAAGGCTGTCTCCCTCCTCTTCCCCTTCAAAAGAAACTGCTTCAGTTATGAAATAGGCACTGATCACTCATTGTGTTCATTCAGGAAAGAAAGATGCTAGTAAATGTGGCATATTTACCGGACCCTTTCCCCACTCTCCATCCTGAAGGATCCTATTGTGTGCTTGCAGCTACTAGTGGGAAGCAGAGGAGGGATCCCGGCAGCACTGTGGGGGTGGAGGCACACAGGGGGGCCCAGGCAGCAGGGGGAAATGTATGGTGCACAGGGAGGGTGATGGATGCAACGGAGGGGGGAGCAATTACTGGAACCAATCTCCTGTATGGCTGATCTGCAGCAGCTGAAAGCCAGTTGGAAGGATTGGAAAAGCCAGCTTTCAGCTGCTACAGAGAGAGCCATACAGGGGATCAGTTCCAGTAATTTCACCCCCACCCCCCTGCCATGCCGATCACCCTCCCTGCTCACATCCAATTCACCCAACTGCCTGGGCCCCCCTGCTGGTTTGGGCCCCGTACACGAGGACTGGTGGTATCTCCTTATCCATGGCCCTGTACACCCCTACACAAAACACTAAAGAGTTAATAAAATTTTGAAAATCCTTAACATTTGGGAGAAAAGTCTAATTGGATTTCCATGACCTCATCTCTGTATTTCAAGAGATAACAGCATTGCTCTGCCAAGGAGGAGGTGTAACAACAGGGATTATATCATATCCTCTCCTCTCTCTCTACAGGAAAAGGAAACTACAGTTCCTATCATCCACAGGGAATTGTAGGGAATGTGGTCGGGTACACTAGGCCCGTACATATTGAATCTGGCTGAGAGTCTCGGTCTGCCCACCACTGCATGTGGGGCTGAATTACATCACTGAACTACAGAAGGGATATGCCAAGACCAGTGGCTGGGGGAATAGGAGGCATAGCATCCACTTGTTTTAAAAACAGGAAACCAAGAGGAACTAATGGTTTGATTCGAAAATTAATTGGCTATTTCAGAGCAACTACTGAGTGAACCAGAAGATGAGTGACATACTCAATGAAGGTTGAAAATCAGCAACAAGGACATGTAAATAAGTTTTTGCCCGGAGTTCTGCTTAAACATTATGCTATTCATGGTGTGGCAAATAAGGTTTTACCGCCAGATACCCAACAGAATATTCA